ACGGGGATCTATTTTCTAGATCCTGTAAGGCGTCTAGGTTAACAGGACTATACATACTAGTCCCCTAAACCCTAAACCCTAAACCCTAAAACCTAAACCCTACCCCTATTTTTGGGAAAGCCCCATATCTTCAAATCCACCCAAGGCGCCAGTGGCCCCAAACTTCAGGCAATCCAAGCCCAACTTTGCCTTGACCTGACTATGAGACTTAGGGATATATAGGGATATATAGGGTTATATAAAGTTATTTAGGGATAGTGGAAAAGAACATGGAAGCTACTATAGTTTAGGGTTTGGGGCTTAGGGTTTAAGGGTTTAAGGGTTTAGGGGTTTAGGGGTTACGGTTTAGGGTTTAGGGTTTAAGGTCAGGGGTTTAGGATTTAGGGGTTTAGGATTTAGGGGTTTAGGGGTTGAGGGTTTAGGGTTAGTGGCCTGAGCTTATGGGTTGAAGGCTTAGGGGGGTTAGGCTTGCGGATCTACTGTTCTGGGTTCCTTACTCAGAGGGGTTCAACGATCATACTTTGAGGGTGTAGGGATTTTGGGCTTGAGCTTTGGGATACCTTTATATGCGGAAATGCTAGGACTGCTGAAGCAGTGGCATTGTACTGTAGGGCCTCATGGAGATTTTGCCAAGGAATCCTTTCAATTTGGTATCGCTGCATGCCTTTCCCACATCCCGCAAGAAAACGCACAACTATGACTTTCAACATTAAGGTTTTAAACACGATCCCTTCATAACCCTAGCTCATCCACCCAAACCCAAACCACTATCCCTAAACCCTAAACCCATAACCCTAGCTCATCCACCCAAACCACTATACCCCCTTTCAAGGCGCCCTAAAACCTGTCATCTGCCCCACCTTGCTCAGGGCCAGCTTATCGGCAAGGCCATACGCAAAGGGCTTCGTTCCATCGCCCCCCAACAAGCACGCCTGTCGACTGTTGCGTGTCCAGAGGGCTTTGGGAAAGTAAGCCATGTAGGACTGCCCCTACTCATGTGAGTATGATAAAGGTTTAGGGGTTTATGAGTTTTGTTACTGGGGTGACTGCTTCAGAATCTTAGGCCAACCAACCCTTTAAACTAAAATTTGCATCCTAAACCTGAGGCTCTGTGAGTTCCTTTACTGCTACCCAGGCCTTCGAGTGCGCGAGGCCCTTTCCTGAGCCGGGTTAGGTCTATGTCAAAGATCCCCGTGTCACGCAGGGAATAGCAAGGTGCCAAGGCACAGGACAGTCGTCAGAAACCCTAAACCCTAAACCCTAAACTTCAACAACATGATGGGTTTGGGGTTGGTTTTATACAGCACCCATGAGCGTGCAGGGCTTGTTTGAAGAATGATCCAGTCGCCTTTGGCCCAGGCTGCGATCTTCTTCTTGAGGCCCGAGTTCGCCGCACCGATGGCGCGCAACTTGTCTGCAATCTTCTCCCACCTTTGCTACAGAGAGACCACATGAGCCACTGTCTAAACTCCTAGTATCCCCCTTAATAACCCCTCTAGTAGTTCCCTATATAATCCCCTATATAACCCCCTTTAAGGAGTTTAGACTATGGCTCAAATGAAGAGCAATAAGAAGTCGAGTAAGCGCAAGGACTACGGACTACGGACAGAGCAGGCTGTGTTCACAAAGCTGGGCAATAAGCACCATTGCAACGAGAGCATGATACTAGCAACCGCCTAGCATAACTAATCTTACTTGATAGTAGCTACGCTGACTATAGCTGTAGACATCCAACATACTGGCATACATTGGAAAGAATCCGAGGAATCTTTGCTTATGCAATTTGAAGTAACGCCGAGCGCGATTTTGGAATTCAGGCGAGGGGCACCAAGGGGACGCCCAAGAAGACCTTTGTCCCTACGACAGGTAGGAAGAAACAAGGGTTCCTTTTCCAAACTTTCAAGTGTTCGAATAGGGAATGCCATACCCCAAAAGTTACGCCAAACAACTTATCCCCCGAACTTATACCAGGAAGCGTTCTACACCAAAAACGACTTAAAACAAAAGGATCCCTGACTTATTGACCTAATCCCTAAACCTTTTTTTTACATAATATTCCCATATTCTCTACTAACCCTACACCCTAAAACCCTAAACCCTAACAACCAAAAAGCTGACGTTGACCCAGGATACGGTTGGTCTCGCCACTTTGAGCCTCTCTCCCAGGCTCCCGGCCTTGAGGTCGTAGGGCCTGGCGAAGTAGATGGTGACCCAAGCCTTGGTGGTTACAGGTTATGACTAAGGGTTTGGGGTTTGGGGGTTTGGGTTTGAGGTTTAGGCTTTGAGGTTTAGGGTTTGGAGTTAAGGGTTTGGGGTTTAGGGCTTATAGGGCGTATGGGATGCGAAACAGTATCAGTTGTATGGTTTCCCTTCTCAGGCAATGGAGATGTAGGGTACCATGGTAATTTAGCATTGCTGCTGCAGCCACTGCTGCTACGACGACCACTTACTTATACTATTCCGTCAAGAAGCAGGAGTCGTGGAAGTGGCCACGAAGGGGAAGCAAACGTCAATCATCTTCCCCGCCACCTGGGTTGCTGTTAAGGAACTTAAAGTAAGTTACTATACTGGGGAAACCCTATTATTTACTATATATACACATTATGGTAACTTAATTTAAGTTCCTTAACAGCAACACAGCCACGTGTGACAGTGGGAGGTAGGACAAGACGCGCTCCTGCTCAGCCTTGGCGCACAGGCCCATGTGCGCCCGAGCCATGTTCATCACTGTGCGGGTCTCATAGACCATGTTGTCGTGAGACAGCCTGGGTTGCTGTTGAGGAACTTAAATTAAGTTACCCATAATGGGTATATATAGTAAATAATAGGGTTTCCCCAGTATAGTAACTTAATTCAAGTTCCTTAACAGCAACCCAGCAGCATGACAGCTTTGGGTTCACCTGTGGTCCCTGAAGTGTAGACCAAGACTGCGCAATGCCCAGGTTTCACCGCCTGCGTACGGGCGTCGATGGTTGAATCATCTACATCCTTGTACAGCTGCATGAATTGAGACCAACCCAGCACAGGCTTGGCGCTTCCCTTGACCTTGGGTGTCCAATACATTGGGGTTCCCTAGGTTCATCCTTTGGACATTGGTTTATATACTAACACACACAAAAAGTTCTACCAGCCCGTTGTCCATGGGATGCCCAGGTTGGACAGGTGAGGGACCTCCACTGTTAGGTTCGCCTCTGGTTCAAATCCATAAGCCACGAAGGCCTTGATGCGAGAAGTCGCTTCATCACGCTTCGCCAAAGCCGGGATTAGCCTGTCTTGCCACATGAGCGAATGCATCACTATCAACTATAGTGGTCCATGCCTACATGGAGACACGATTTGGGTTGAGGTCATGTGAAAACGGCTATGCGGGTTTGCTGTTAGGGAACTTAATCTAAATCCCTCTATTGGGAGAACCATACTATTTACTACATATACCCTTGTGCAGAGTGGCTCGGAATAATAAAATTGTTCGGGGAAGTTATTCAGGACCTGCGATTGAAGGGTTCGGAATACTGAAAATTTTCTAGGGCCCAGAATGAAAAATAGCAGATTCTGATTCCGAATTCTGTTGATGTTAATCTACTTGTAGCTAAGAAAAGCAGAGCAGAAACAGCTTGATCAATTCTGAGGGCCCATATGATTCTAATTGTGCGGCAGATTTACGGGGTCGCTGAAAATTAAAGAGAATCGTCAATTGCTTGGGGGGCGGGGGCCCCTCTTTTAAAGGGGGTACCACATTATGGTAACTTAACATAAATTCCGTAACAGCAACGCAGACAAATTGCCCAGGCCTGTCCAACTTAGCTTTGTCCTCCAGCACCACCACACTGGCACCACTGTGGGCAATCTTGAAGGCCGCAGTCTCAGGTGTATCTGCAACCGCCAAGGGTGCTGACTTAGGGCTACTCGAGGGAAGGCCAGCCAAAGCTTTCAACCCCGTCCCACTACACTAACTGGGGGACTGTCAAAATTATGGTCTTTTTTGGGGTCCCTATTATAATACGGGGCCTAATTTAGGGGACCCAAAAAGGGACCATAATTTTGAGAATCCCCCAACTGTTCCCCTGGCTTTCGGCACAGGATTGTTTGCAAGGAGACTCGCCATGGACCCTGAACCGCAAACCCGTTTGAACACAGAATCCTTAACATTACAACTGGAACTAAAACTCTGAAAGCTCCTCTTTTTGTACCCCTCAGCCCCTGACGTTTCACGCTACACCCTCCCTCTAATTAAGCCCCTAAACCCCTCAAACTTCTTGGCTACTAGTAAGGAATATGGGAATGTTATCCCTATTGTATCATCTATTCCCGAATTCCCTATTCCCTACTATAAATAACTCCAGTATGTACTCTATTATGATGTAGTAGCTTCTATTCTCTTCTCCACTATCCCCTACTAAGAACCAGTAAGCAAAACCCTTAAACCCCAAACCCTAAATCCCTAAACAACCCCAAGATATTCCTTACCAACCCAAAAACAAAATCCCTAAATCCTAAATCCTAACCCCTAAACCCCAGACCCCAATATAATCCCTACGAAGCCAAAAACAAAATCCCTAAACCCTAAACCCAAAAAGCAAGCCTGTCGGATAGAGGCCACCGACTTTGCCCCCCGCAAAGCCCGCCGCCAAGGCGCTGAGCATCCACTCCGGCGCGTTAAAACCCCAAATGGCCAGAGTGTCCTGGGCTTAGGGTTCAAGGATTTGGGGTTTAGGCATTTGGGGTTTAGGGATTTGGGGTTTAGGGATTTAGGGTTTCGGGATTTGGGGTTTAGGGATTTGGGGTTTAGGGGTTTGGGGTTTAGGGATTTGGGGGATTTAGGGTGTAGGGATGCAGGGTACAGGGACTTAGGGTGTATAGGATTTAGGGATTGCTTCTATCTTACTGTAGGGAATGAGGGGAATATATAGCGGTTGTAGGGATTATAGTTCTGTATTCCTTACTAAGAACCAGCGGGTTTTTCCCATCCACCCCCGCCATCCATGAGGCAGAGGAAGAAAGGAGAGAGATTGAGATTTCTTACGCGCTGAGGCTTGGGGGTTTAGGGTTGAAGCATGCCATGATTGTGATGGGGGGATGTGGGATGTAACATGTTGAGGGTATGAGGTTTAGGGTTTAGGGTTGAAGCATGAGGCTGTAAATATTGATTGTCTTGACATCTGTTAAAGAAAGCAGCCAAAACTTCTTTCAAGAATGTCGCAGCGTCAAAAGGCTGAAAGCCCAGCTGCATCAAGCCCTTGCCTGCCTTCCGGGCATCATCGTAATACTGGCGATAAGTCCAGGCCTTCCTGGGTTGCTGCTAAGGAACAGAAAAAGGGTTACCAGAATATGGGTATATAGTAAATAATAGAGTTCCCTCATTATTAGAGTAACTTAACTAAGTTCCTGTCAAATAATAGGCCTGCCTCATCATTATGGACACTTAAGTTCCCTAAACAGCAACCCAGCTTCCACTGCTCTTCTGGCAAAGCTGGAGGAGCTGTACCATTCTCGGCTTGTGGTGGCAAAGGCGACTCCACCTTTAACGCTGGTTTGTCACCCTTTTCATCCGCTGCCTTCCTGGGTTGCTGAACTCAAGCCCTATTTAGGGTTTAGGGTTTAGGGTTTGTACCCATTAAGGTAACTTAATTGAAGTAAATCAAAGTTGAGTTCCTTCAGCCCCTATAATCCCCGAGTGTTCATTTCATTTTCAATGTTCTTTTCCATTTGATTCTCCATTCTAAGGGACAATAACTCAAAATTCAGTTCCTTAAGCAATACCCCCATATCCCTAAACCCTAAACCCCTAAACCCTAAACCCCTAAACCCCTAAACCCCTGACCCTAAACCGCAGACCAGTTTCTTGAGGAGCTCCTGTAATGTGCTGGGAGAACATTCCTCTAAGCTTGCAGGGCCACTCTTCGCAAGCCTGGGATCAACGACCCCATCGGCTCTACCTCGGGTTGCTGTTAAGGGTTTAGGGGTTTAGGGGTTTAGGATTTAGGGGTTTTAGGGGTTCAGGGTTTAGGGGTTTTAGGGGTTCAGGGGTTCAGGGGTTTAGGGGTTTAGGGCTTAGGGTTTAGGGGTTTAGGGTTTGCTGTGATGTTGCCGTGCAGGGTGTGCTGATCAGGTGTCAATGATCTTTCAAGTGCATGGCTGCATGCGAGGTGCTGCCATGGCCTGAATGTAGACGGCCATCTAACACAATCACCCACCCCATGCCGTCCAGGCGGCAAACCACCCAAACCTATACCTTTTAGGGCTTAGGACCTAAACTCAGTTAGATCCATCTTGGTCAACAACAACAACACCTTTTCATGTGTGTACGCTGAAGGTCCTGCATGCTGGACAGGCCCGGCCCTTGGAGGCCCCCTGAAAATGCTTTTGGAGGCCCCTGGCGCTGGAGGCCCTGGAGGCCCCTGGAGGCCTCTGGAGCCCCTCCATTCAAGGTCTTGCTTC